CCCTCACCATCGGCGAATACCCACGGCAGACTACCAAGTTGGTCACTTTCCTTGTGGTCGACTGTCCCTCTGCCTACAACATCATCCTTGGCTGCACCGCCCTTAACGCTTTCCAAGCTATCACTTCAACCTACCACCTCGCCATAAAGTTCCCTACCGACCTGGGCGTAGGGACAGTAAGAGGAGAGCAGACTGTAGCCAGGGAATGTTATGTCGCCTCACTCAAGGAAGTCAAGCTGAAGGAGGCCATGATCATTGAAGGACTTGACGTCCGAGATGAGGACGAGTTGGTTAGAGGAGAACCGGTTGAGGAGCTCGTTGAGGTTCCCATCGATCCCACCAACCCTATGAAGACTGCCAAGATCGGCAGCCAACTATCCCCCCAAGCTAAGGCCGACCTTATCGCCTTTCTGATCGAGCATAATGATGTGTTTGCCTGGACCCATTCAGACATGCCGGGCATCGACCCCTCTTTCATAACTCACCGCCTCAGCATCGAACCCTATTTCCGACCTTATCGCCAAAAGTAGTGCATCTCCATCCAGAGCGCAATACACTTATAACCGCAGAGGTTGACAAGCTCCTTGAGGCCCAATTCATCAAAAACGTAGATTACCCTAAATGGTTGTTAAACGTGGTCCTAGTCCGCAAGAACAATGGCAAATGGTGACTCTGTGTCGATTACTCTGACCTAAACCGAGCTTGTCCCAAAGACAGCTATCCTCTTCCCCGCATAGATCTGCTGGTCGATGCCACGGCCGGTCATCAAATGCTCAGCTTCATGGATGTTTTCTCTGGGTACAACCAAATCCTGATGCACCCGTCCGATCGGGAACATATATCCTTCATTACCGACCGAGGTACCTACCACTACCGCGTGATGCCATTCGGACTGAAGAATGCTGGGGCTACCTACCAACGGTTGGTCAATGCCGTTTTCCATCATCAGATAGGTCGGAATATGGAAGTCTATGTCGACGACATGCTAGTCAAGAGCAAACTCTCTATCGATCATCTGTCCGACCTGCGAGAGACCTTCGCCACCCTACGCAAGTACCAAATGAAGCTCAACCCAGAGAAGTGCGCCTTCGGCGTAGGATTTGGGAAGTTTCTGGGTTTTATGGTCAGTCAGCGGGGCATTGAAGCTAACCCTGAAAAGATCAAGGCCTTGATTGAGATGCAGTCACCCAGAACGGTTAAGGAGGTTCAAAGGCTCACTGGCCGAGTTGCGGCCCTCAACCACTTCATTTCCCGTGTAACAGATAAGTGCCTACCATTCTTCAAAGTTCTTCGGCAAACTTTTGAATGGACAACTGAATCTGAAGAAGTTTTTCAGCAGTTGAAGCAGTTCATGGCAAATTCCTCCCTCCTTTCACAAGCAATTACGGGCGAGCCCCTCTTCCTCTATTTAGCCGTCTCAAGCACCGCAGTCAGTGCAGCTCTTATCAAGGAAGACGACTCTGTCCAACAGTCTGTCTACTACATCAGTTAGGCTCTCAGGGGAGCAGAGCAGAACTACCCGCTGTTAGAAAAATTGTCCTTGGCCTTGGTCACTGCCTCCAGACGGCTCCATCTTTACTTCCAAGCCCATTCCATAGTGGTTCTCATCGACCAACCATTGAAGAAGGTCATGCAATAACCAAAACTTTCCGGCAGACTCATACAGTGGTCAATGGAACTCAGTCAGTTTGACATCTCCTACCGGCCTCGAACAGCAATTAAGGGACAGGCTGTCATGGATTTCATCATGGAATTAACTCATCCTACCCCAACCGCTGCGCCCCCACCCCCACCAACCCCTACCGAGCCAGAAGACCCGTATTCATGGACTCTCAACGTGGACGGATCATCCTGCAGGGAAAGTAGTGGGGCTGGCCTCATTCTCACCGCCCCTAAGGGCGACTATTTCAAATGTGCTCTCCGTTTCTTGTTTAATGCCAGTAACAATGAGGCCGAATATGAGGCATTGATAGCAGGACTCTGCCTCGCCAAGGACATTGGAGTCAGCCACATTCGGGTGTTCAGCGACTCCCAGTTCATCGTTGGCCAGATTACGGGGGAATTCGATGCTAAGGAGGACACAATGCGGGCTTACAGGGATATGGCCCTCCCCCTTGTTCGCCTCTTCAATACCTTCCATATCAAGCACATATCTCGGGTGGAAAACTCCAAGGCAGACGAGATGGCTCAGTTGGCCTCTGCAGACCAGTCCGACCTCAGCCACGGTGTCCGCCTCGAATACCTAGCCCACCCGGCCATCTCACCCGACTTACAAGAAGTGCAGTTCCTCCAAAACGAACCCATCCCTTGGGCCTCCGACATCTTTCTATTTATGACAACGGGGGAACTCCCGGATGACCAACAGCAGGTCGCCAAAGTCAGGGTCCGGTCGTCCAATTACATCCTGGTCAGTGGTGTCTTATATAAACGTGGTTTTTCACGCCCATACCTGCGATGCCTCAATTCGGCTCAAGCAACCTATGTAATGCGGGAAATCCATGAGGGAATTTGTGGCAATCATTCGGGCGGCAAGTCTCTGGCCCACAAAATACTCCGTACAGGTTATTTTTGGCCAACTCTCAATCAAGATGCGACTGATTTCGTGCTCAAATGTGATAAGTGTCAACGTTTTGCCAACATCCCCCTATGCTCCTCCTATAGAGTTGATCACACTTTGCAGCCCTTATCCGTTCGCCAAATGGGGGATCGACTTGGTTGGTCCACTTCCCACCGGCCGAGGTCAGATCAAGTTCGCAATCGTCGCCATTGATTACTTCACCAAGTGGGTAGAGGCAGAACCCCTTGCCACCATTACCGAGCGGAACACAACCAAGTTCATCTGGCAGTCGATCGTTTGCAGATTTGGCATCCCTCAGGCCATCGTCTCCGACAACGGCAAACAATTTGACAACGCCAAGTACAGGAAGTTCTGTGCTGACCTCCAGATTCAACCATGTTTCTCTTCTCCCAGTCATCCCCAGGCCAATGGCCAAGTTGAGGTCACCAACCGTTCTCTCCTGAGGATCATCAAAACTAAGCTCGAAGCTGCTAAGGGACTTTGGGCTGAGAAACTACCGAATGTACTCTGGGCTTACCGAACTACAGCTCGGACTCCCACTGGGGAAACTCCTTGCCGCTTAACATACGGTGCTGAGGCGGTTATTCCAATAAAAATCGGTCTGCCTACTCCCAGGGTTTTACATCCGGATCGAGCACAAACCGAAGAGCTCCATCGGGCAGACCTGGACCTAATCGAAGAACTCAGAGAGACCACCGCTGTCAGACTGACCTCATACCAACAGAAAATGAGAACACACTACAACCAAAAAGTCTGACCAACGGAGTTCGCTGTAGGGGATCTTGTCTTGAGAGAAGCAACTCTTGCCACCAAAAATCCGACTGAGGGTAAACTGGCAGCCAAATAGGAGGGACCTTACGTTGTGAAAGCCAGACCACGTCCGGGCATCTACCGACTTCAGGACATGGAAGGTCGAGACTTCCTCCACTTATGGAACGCTGAACACCTGAAACGTTACTTTCAATAAGCTCCTACTTTTGTGTCACTCAGTTATTGTGTTTTCTTTCCGGCAAATTTACACATTCTTGATATCTCCTTACGCAATGTAACTTTTTAATTAACTGGGTTACACTCCCCCTGCCATCAATTATATATCTCAGTTTTCTGTATGGTGTCTCAATGATGTTTTGATTGCAGCACTCATGAAAAGCCTCAGCCAGACTGAGCATCAACAAGCCTCAGCCAGACTGAGCATCAACAAGCCTCAGCCAGACTGAGCATCATCAAGCCTCAGCCAGACTGAGCACTAAAATGCCTCAGCCAGACTGAGCATTAACAAGCCTCAGCCAGACTGCGCATCATACAGCCTCAGCCAGACTGCGCATCATACAGCCTCAGCCAGACTGAGCACTAAAAAGCCTCAGCCAGACTGAGCATCATAACGCCTTAGCCAGACTGAGCACCATAAATCCTCAGCCAGACTGAGCACCATAAAGCCTCAGCCAGACTGAGCATCATAAAGCCTCAGTCAGACTGAGCATGGAGCACTCGTCCAGCCCAAGCCTCAGCCAGCCTAAGCATAACAAGTCTCAGCCGGACCGAACGCCACAATTTCAGGTTCAGACTGAGTTCCTTACGACGTTAGTGAATCATAGCTTAGCCCTAACTGAACATGCGTTCAGGGCTCGGTCAAAGCCATCTATGCAAACTTCATGCTTGTGGAATTAGTAGACACACTTGGTCACAATTCCAGGTCCAAGTCTTTACACCACTCTTTGCTTAGTCAAATTCCAAAGACGTCCTTACACGTTTTCTTTACAAGTTAGGTTATCTTCTTCTCAATCAAACTATTACAAGTCAGCCTGTTTCCTTACAAGACAAGCCTCACTCCAATAAACCACTAATCTACTTCAGCAGTGTGGCAAACACAAACTTATAATTTTATAATATTTTAAATTTCACTCTGGATTGAGGAGTTCTTAACTTTACTCTGCATTGAGTCTTTATTACAAGTTCAATTTTACTCTGCATTGAGGAATTCTTAACTTCACTCTGCATTGAGTTTTTATTACAACTTCAACTTCACTTTACACTGAGGAGTTCTTACATTTAGTTCTTATTACAAGTTTCACTTCACTTTGCACTTCACAATGAGTTCTACACCCGCTTTGCCCACGCCTCATTCATTTTAGCTGTACAAGAACAGACAATCAAACGAAAACATAATTGCAATTTTATTTATTCAGAAATTTGTACATGAGTTCATTACAGCCATTCAAAAAAAAAAAAAAACTCTCTCTCTCTTAAGTACAAACTTTCTTCACTTCACTCATTCCTCCTCACTAGAGACGAGGTCTTCTTCTTCAATACCCTCATCCAGGGTGGTCTGGGCCACATCATCTTCACCAATTGTTACACTACTGAGGTCTAAGTCTGGGAACAGTTCTTCAGCCCTACGTTTGAACATTTTCCAGCCACTGTCTCAGAACTCAGCTATTTCGTGTTTATAGAAGTTTGACTGTTGGAAGCTCTCAATCACTTCCGCTTCAGTTTTGCCCCCAACGGTCATCCTCGATGGGCCCGCCCCTCTAGACTCCTCCGTTACCAAGCTGCTGGCGACCGCGGCATCCACTGCCATCTGAAACTCAGCAGACCCCTTGAATTGATCCACTGCTGCCACATACAGATTGGGGTAAGCCGCCCTTTCAGAGGCTGTCTTCGCCCTCTCTTCCTCCAGCTCCTTCCGCAGGGTCGCCGTTTCAGAGGCTGCCTTGGCCTTCTCTGCCTCCAACTCCTTCTTTAAGGTCTCCCTCTTAGCAGTCGCCGTCGCTCTCTCTGCCTCCAACTCCTTCTAAAGGCTCTCCCTCTCTTCCAGTGCCTTTGTACGCTCGCCCTCCAACTCCTTCTACAGACCGCTAATCTTCACGTCTGCCTCATCCTTTTGCCTGACCAGCTCTTCATTATTGATCATTGCCTCTACATGTCGTTCGATCGCGACCGTGCAGGCTTTTCGGGTCTCATCCAACCTCTTCTGCTCGCCAGCCAGTTGGAACTCGAGCGACACAACCTGACGGCGTGTGTTCTCCAGCTCCACCTTGATCGCTTGCAGATCAGCGTCGGCACTCTCCCAACTTGCACTCTTCTCCTTCAACTTGGCAAGCTGAGTCTTGGCCTCATCTGCCTTGAGCTTTACAGCCCCAGCCTTCCTCAGCAGAGCCCCTACTAAGGTGGTTACCTCCATTTGAGCGGAGCATAACCCCCTCAACAGTTCAGCCTCATTGAATCTGGCTGCTGAGCGCAAGGCTGCCTCTTCTACAATCCCCACAAGGCGGTCTGCCCCTGCCCTGGCTGGGCCTTCTTTTCCCTCCAGCCGCCCAGCCACCGCACGAGCATGGTAGATTGCAGTAGTCAGACTGACCCCCCCTCCATGGGGTGCAGGAGCCCCCTGGGGCTATTCTTCCCCCTTTGGCTCAGGGCCAGTCGCCCTGCCTTCTACTTGCACTTTAGGGGCGACCCTCGCGACCTCCGCGGCGATCGCCGCCACTACTGAAACTACTTCCATGCCCTCTGAGGCAATGTCCACCACTTCTGGGGCAATTACTCTTCCTGGGGTCTCCTTCACTTCCCCCCCTCTGCCCCCTTCGCCATGCTGGTCTCTTCACGCACCACTTCTCTCCTTCTCTTCAAGCAAACTCTTCTTGACTCCCCCTCACCCTCCTCTTCTTCTTCTTCTAAGCATCCCTCTCCTTGTTCGCCCGTTCCTTCACAGGATCCACTGGGGGCGGTCGGGGCACAAAACTGCCTAAGTCTTTCTTCCCCAACGGCTTGGGGCGCGGTTGGATCCGCTCTCTCACGACTGGCTTTGGGACAGGCCCCAGTTGGGACTCCTTGTACTTGTCCGCCCACGCGAACAACCTCCTTTCCTCCTCCTCCTCCTTCGCTTTCCTCTGCACCTCCAACTCCTCCCTTTCTGGACCCCCTCTCAACGGCTGTGGTCCCAAGTTTAAGGCAAACAGAACCGACGGTAGGACAAGCTCGTCCCACCTTACTCCCTTCTCCTCCCTCCAATCCCTCACCCTCTTCACTCGGTCCTCAGTCGCCTTGTCCAGCTTGGGCTCGACCGATTTGGTGGGCACCTTCCAAGTTATGCAAACTCCTGCCCCGTCGTTTGCCGTCACAAAGAACCACCTTGGCCTCCAGCCTTTTACCGAAGATGGCAGACTCGCCACCAGACCTCGTCCAGCCACTGCCTGCAGTGTAACACAAGTGTCCTGCTGACCAGAGGCCTTGTAGCACGAGAAGAACTCATTTATCATCAAGGGCAACCTTTCCGTTGCTTGCGGCCAGGAACTCGGGCACGCCATCAATATTTTCCAGGCGTTTGGCATTAATTGACCTGGTGCCGCATCTAGTTTATTCAACACATCAACCACAACTTGAGGCAGCGGTAGCCTCACATCTCCCCGCAATGCCTCTTCGTACAAGCTAAATTCCCCCGTCCGTGCATCCGACGCCCTCTCGGTAGATGTCGGCAGCCTCAACCCTATTTCCAAAGGAATCTGGTGCTTCCCCCTTATCCCCTCCAACTCCGCCGGTGTAAGAGTGGATCTGTCTGCCTTTATGTGCCAGTGATCTGGTTCTGCCTGGTTGATTGGCCTTGGAGCCGCTTTCATGGTGGAACCTTGGGATCATCCCACCAACCCCCCTCACCGTCTCCGTCCGGTACTGCTGCGCCAACTCCACTGCATCATCATCACCAAGTGGATCCACCCTGACATTCGCAGTTTCTTCTTGGGCCATCTCTATGGTATGTCTGTGAATCGCTTCGGATGCAGGTGCAAGGAAATTGAAAAAGTGTTGCAGAGGCGTATCGTGAGCAACAAAGGAATTAATACTTGCAATGTTTTGATTTTTTGTAAACAAGTAGGTGAATCGAATGATGCCAAAAGCCCACGGTTTGCCCGTATTCCAAGGATCCTAATTAATTTTCGCCAGTTTGAAAACTTTTCAAATCATCCGCCAAAACTGTCTTTTCAACACCCATAATGACCTATCGTTTCATCTCTGATCTGGCGCCTAATCTCCCCTCCACCCCCTGCGGGATCTTGCCACGTGTACGACCACGATCCACTGTCTCCTCCACTTACCATGTCTTTTCCACTTCAAATCACCACGTAACACGACGCCCCTCGAGTCCCATGCCCCTCCACCTCACCCTTCGCGGTCGGCCCTCCTCGCGGTCAACCTTCCCACTCGGCCAACCTCCGCGGTCGGCCCCCCCTTCATGGTTGGCCCTCCTCGTGGTCGACCCTCCCACTCGGCCAACCTTTGCGGTCGGTCCTTCCCGTGATCGGCCCTTCCACTCGGTCGCCCTGCACGGTCGGACCACCTCCCGGTCGGTTCACCTCCTCGGTCACCCTTGCCAGTCGACCTCCATCCTGCCAATCCCTAACACCCCTATCTACTTCATTAATATTCCCTTCGTTGGACTAAAGCTGCACTCGGGAATGAGGGACTACTGACGTGTATAAGCCCATAAAGGCCACGAATCACTATGAACAATCCAAGCCCATCACTTGGAGCCCAATGCATAACCCAGCTGGTGAGGTCCAGGACAGTTGGAGTTCAACATGGCATAAAGAGCCAATGACATTCAGACACACGGTAGGTGAAGGACAGGCCACATCAGCAGACAAAGATTTGCAAAGTTATTACCACTGCACATCACCATTGATGCAGCCCATCACAGCATTTATTACGACAACACCTCTCTGTCGGAACAGGACCCCCTTACCCTGAACAAGGTAAGCTACAGCATAGACTTTCGGTGAGGAGGGCAGGTTGGAAGGGACAGTGAAATGATTACCAAAGGATATAAGCAAACGTTGAAGATAAGAAGAAGGTTAAGCTTTTTTATCTCTAATCTCTCCCTCTATACTCTACTTCTCTTCCTAACTTGCTCGTCGGAGGGTTCATTGGGGGACTACCCCGTTCCCCGTTGAACTTGTTTGCAGGTTATCTAGTGAGCTTGATCATTTGGACCTGGGCTTCAGGAGCTTGGACCAGTTCGATCCATTCACTGGGACAAACTGTAACATCAAAAACATCAATAAAAAGTTAAATAAAATTATTTTATTTTTAAATTGAGACATTTAAATTTTATTGAATTTTATTAAATATAATACATAATTAAATAGTAGAGGGTCAAAATGGTCATTTTGACCACCTAATCCCAACAGTAGATAGTCCCCCAAAAACTATCCCATACCCCCCCTCTAGGACACAATAGTCCCCCATATGGGGGATAAGGAGTCCGGTCGGACATGGAGTCCGATGGATTAAAAAAAAATCAAATGACGGATAAGAAGCACAATTTAGATTACAATTCAAATAGTAGATAGTCTCCACTATTTGGATTGCAATCCAAATAGTGCTCCTTATCCGCCGTTTGATTTTTTTTTAGTCCGTCGGACATGGAGTCTGGCCGGACTCCATGTCCCCCATATGAGGGACTATTGTGTCCTAGGGGGTGGGACAGAATATGGGGGACTATCCACTGTTGGGATTAGATACGAAAATGACCATTTTGACCCTCTACTATTTAATTATGTATTATATTTAATAAAATTTAATAAAATTTAAATGTCTCAATTTAAAAATAAAATAATTTTATTTAACTTTTTATTAATGTTTTATTTATTTAATTTTTTATAGATAGTTTATTGATGTTTTATTTTAAAATTTTGTTTATAATTTATTTAATTTCATTATTTAAATTTTAATAGATGTTTTATTTAATTTCATTGTTTAATTATTATTAGTTTTAAAAATAAATTTATTTAAAATTTTAATTAAAAAAATAACATTATTTTTATTGATATTTTATTTATTTAATTTTAAAAAATAAATTTATTTAATTGTGTAAAAAATAAAATAAAATAATTTTTTTTAATCTAGATAAAAATAATTAAAATATTAAAGATATGTTTAATATTGCTATTACTTAGTAAACAATTGAAAAAGGGCAAAATAGTCTTTTGTTCATTTATCCTATCCAGTCCGTCCAACCAAACGTTGGATTCATTAAAAATAGTCATTTCCAGACATCTAAAAGCCCAAAAGTGAGATGTAGATTACCTTTTTCTTTTTCTACTTTTCTGCTAAGGTGACTGTTCCTGTGTCCTGTGGACCTGTTTGGATATGAATCTGGACCACTCGAAGTCTCACACAGATCATGTCCTATCAAATGCTGGTTCAAGTCGAAGTTTTTTAACTCTTCGAAATCAACGAATTTTAAATTCTAGGGCTTAAAATCAAATTCATCGCTTGAGATTTGCACACAACTGACTCAGGTTTATGAGATATTTATCAAATCTCAAAACACTTCACATATAATAAATTCATTGCCTAGAGTTGGAAACTAACTTGCTCAATATGTCCTTGAGAAAAATAGAACATGCGCTCGCCTTCACGAGGCACCGTCACGAGCGGACCAGCACAAGCGCGCCATAGCTCCGTGTAAAGTGCTGTTTCAGGATCCACTGCACCAACAAGAAAAGAAAGAAAAAAAAAACTCGAAATCAGAGCTAGAGATCATTGTAAACTCATTGGAAAAGCACCAGAATTACAGAGAGAGTTGAATCACCCTGTCTT